AAAGTTCTACTAAGTAATCTTTATTTCAGTCCATAACGAGGATATTTATTTGGAGAGAGAGATGGTGATTGCTAATATTTTTTTCAGTCAAGGGAATGACAACATAAACAAATGGATTAACAGAAACAAATATTTACCAAACTTCTATCAATGTTTTAAAATTAACTGCCCTTTACTACTGCTAGGTAAATTTAATACACGATTGTAAACCAGCATTTTGGTTACTGTATTTAAACATACAAAAAAATACCAATTTACCGAACATTTTTCTTTGTTTCGTTTCAAACAATATGATGATCTTTATCCATTACTCAATTTATTTGAAACTAACATGTCCAACCATGGCATTGATACATATAATATAACGATTGATTCCATTCGATGAATATAAAGTTATTCATAATTGTTGCACTAATTTTGCTCCACTTGATGTTGAATAATCAACAAATGATACCTATATTTTTATGGCATACGAAACCCTGGAGCTAGGTTTATTTGTGACTGGTAAACGTTACGAAGGCGTTTCTGATTATATGGGACTCTGGTGGTGAAATTGGTTAAAGTGGATTATTTGAGACATGAGAAAAAATCGAATGTTCAACTCTAAATGTGGATATAAATGAATGTTATATCACTACAGATTCTGTCAAATAATCAAACTGTTATTGTGACTGACAAGCTAATACAACGAATATAAACAAAAGTTTCATTAATATTTCCGATTTTCGGGTAAATATAATTTTATCAGAAGGGGTTTTGTGGAGATTTTAGAAATTTCAATATTTGGAATCATGAGTCATCTAGAGCTAGACCACCATGGAAAACCTGGAAGCATTGGAAGCCGTTTCGTCCAAGTACGGATTCTTCAGCAGTATGCAGCCATGATACCGCCCCGCCGCGAGATCGGAACCCAGGACCTATCAATATCGCGCTCGAGCGCTTAACCATTAAACCACTGAGCCGGTTGACATCCAACGGTTTTAATATCTAACTTCAACCAATACACGAAATCGCCTGACTTCCTAGGAAGAGTTAACCCTTAAGTGCGACGGTGTTTGTCGTATGAACAACTCAATAAAGATTTAAAGGATGATGATAGTCATATTAGAATATGACACTTGTTCGTGAAGTCAGTGATTGAACAGTTAGTCGTAGGTTGTTCAGACGTCTTGGTTATAATCCACAATATGATAGTAGGTCTTTTTATTTTTAGACCTCAGGTTTTTATACTTAATAGCAGCCGAAGTTTGATCATTGTATAGATTTAAGAAATAAATAAAACAGCATACAAAATTATAGGATATATATATTCTGATGAACAAATGAAATGGAGAAGTGTTCTAGCGTATAATCAACTGATTATAAGATGTCCCAACAAACAGAAAGAGAAATTGGGTTGTTTACCCTGACCCTACCAATCTGAAATTCTAAAGTTATAGAAAAGTTGTTAACTATTCTCAGAAAAACACAGAACGGAGATCTGTCGATAATAAAAAAAAATTAATCCTCCAAAGACCATGATCTATATGAATATCAACTTAAAATGCGGTATAATAACAGACATTTTGATGGGAAGGATTTCAAATTACTTCAGAAACGATTCTTCCCAGTAACTTTAGAATTGGTATTCACAAGTTTACCTATCTTTAATGACAATATTAAAAACGATTTCTCGCATTCAACCTCTTCAATATATAATGCAAATTCACTTGTTCTCATGGAGACATGCATTAGTTATTTTATGAGAATTCGTTTGCTAAATAGTCCAGAAAGACTTTTCATCATGAGCAAGAAAGGGGTGAACTAATCGGTGAAAAGTCATACCGTAGAACAGTTTTTCAGTATCAACGATTCGATTAGTTTATAAGTTACTAAAAACAGTATGCTTGTGTTTCTTCTACTTTACATTTGTCATAAACAACGAAACGCTACATAGAAAGGGAAATTTTTTTAATCTCAGTGTAGATCTAATCCATACGGTTGTTTTCAATTATTAATTTAGTTTCATTTGAATCACTCTTGTTTCTTCACTCTCCCTGAATATGTTTCATTTCCAATCCCAATCCATTTCCATAATTATTATTTTCAGTTCAATTTTTATGATATTCCTGATACGTTCGTCATTCATAACCTCAATATTTCATCCGTTCTTCTTGAACCACAATAGCTATTGTTATGAATCTTCTTTCAGCTTGTTCTCTTCTTGATTTGCTAATATCTCTCTTCCATATTAAGGTAAAGTGTGACAGCCTAGATAAATATACGTTTCTGATGGGATTTATTTTAATTTCGATGAAATAGCTGTCCTCATATTTTGTTTGACGATAGTTCAAAAGTATAAAATTATATAAAACTCTTGTATTCAGTTGTATGAAAAATAGTCGTCTGATATTAACTGACGAGTTTTGTTTATCATTTTAAAAATATCATTATATTTAGTCACAACTAAATCACGCCAATAAACCGATAGTTAAAAGCGAATCCTAAGAGTTCTCAAACTGGTTCATCTACGAGGAGAATGATTGATCAGTTTTTCTAATATAGTTACTTTCAGGAATCATGTTTATATGGATAAAATTAGACTATTAAATTATGATGCAATTTCCAGATGTTTCTTTGTATATCTAGAAAGCTTTCATTCTACTTTCAAATACTTTTCACTTTCTATTCAGAATATATCTCTTTAGTAAATTATGTGAATACCAAAATCCTTATTGAAATCAAGCTACATCTTATAACAAACTAACATATTTAAGACGAATTAAATCATGTGGAGTTATATCAATCGATTTATGTTGCCCACTAGAAAACTAAACGAATTTGGAGATGATTTAATACTTATATTGCCTGATAGTTACTGGGATAATTGATAACCTAAATGATGCATCATTAAATTAAATTATTGAAGTTCAATGTCATCATACATTTCACAACACTGTTAATTAACAGTTGGCAAATTAATTGAAACGATGAATACTTGAATTTTCTACTTAATGTATAGATAGAAGAATACAGCTTAATCCCGCTAGAAAAACTATCATTCCCATTGATTATAGTCTAGGGAAAGTTTATTGTAACAAATCACTACACTGAAAAATTCAGTCTTGGGGATAAATATACTAGCATGTACTCTTTATATCATCGTGTGTGTTATCTTCAGAATTTTCACGCATATTTAGATAATTACTAGTAGTGGGATACAAAATGTAGGTTTCGTTCCATTCTAGGCAATTCAGATTGATGCGCCTCGATGCCAGTGTAGATATTCACTACAAGATTCAAATCAAACTTATATCCTTTAAAATGAACCATTGACTCATGAATTTATAGTGAAGTTTATTGAATTGTTTGTGCTCAAATCTTCCCGTTATTGATCTTAAGGAATTATAACTTCATAACAACATTAAGGTGAACATATTGTATAGCTGGCTGTTCATTTACAGTCAAAAACATCAATAATGAGAATAATCCATATTTTATGAATTATTCAATAAATAGAACATTTCAAACGGTAATTATAGAGGTAAATCCTCACATTGTATTCACTCTTCTAAATTAGTTCACAATAAATATTCAAATATGCATCACCTTTTCATAGATCTTCAGCTACTGTATTGTAAGTTTTCTTCAATTATAAGAAATGATGTCTCATTTAATGCCTTCGTGTATTCTATTAGTAGAAATCCAATTAAAATAATCTTCATTTGAAATGGAATTAAGAGTGAAAATTTAAAGTAATATGTCTTTTATAAAGCAGGAATTATTAGACAGCCTTTTCATTCTATTAATAGATTACTGAGCAATGCATGATCGTGATCCATACAATAGTCAGCAAACAATCATGTCAGTAATCAATAAGTCATCAAAGAAACATTACAAAATCTGTTACAACTTCTATAACCTTTCTGAATAGTAACATGGATTTTCTAAATAATCATCACTACATTACTTGACTAAGAAAGTAAAAAAAATACATTCTGATAAGTGTAACAAGGTTTTGTAAATATTGTACTTTTAATATTTCTTCAATGGTTATTTTATATAACTTATATAATTTAAATGACCATTTAAATGTGTAAAGCTACTTAGTAAAATAAGGTTAATTTATAAATCAAGATGAATGGTGGCTAGTAGTGGAATCTAGTACGTTCTATTTTGATAATTGTCAGCTGAATGTATCAACATTATAAGGTTGATATTCACTATGGGATTCAAATCCAGTACCGTTCAATTCAAACGTCATCACGTTATACATTTAACTATGGAGTCTATGATAGACACTGGCTTGTACAATGAGGTGAAGTTTGATTTGTTTATGTATTGTCTGTTTGAATCTTTCTACTGATATTTAGGACTAAAATGGAACACAAGCTAATAAGCTAACTAGTATCAGAAGGGGTTTTGTGGAGATTTTAGTAATTTCAACAGTTGAGATCATGACCCAATTGAAGCTAGACCACCATGGAAAACCTGGAAGCACTGGACGGCTGTTTCGTCTTATTGTGTGACTCCTCAGCAGCCACATCCACGACCCCACCTCGTAGGATTCGAACCCAGGACCTATCAGTTTCGCACCAGGCGCTTAACCAACTAGACCACTGAGCCGGCATCCAACGGTGTTAATGTCTAACTTCAACTAATAAGCTAACATTTTCTAAGATCACTTTGGAATTTATAAAGTTCAGATCACGAACTGATCCTTGTTACACCAATATTAAAAACTTGAATACATTAGATTCTATTATGGGACACTTCGGCACTATTCGTGCATGACAGCTTTAGGGAAAATAAAACTTATTGACTCAAAATTCTCTCATCTAATTAGAAAGACTTTAAGGTACAGTATCTACAGCTCTAATCAGATCACAGTATTTTCAGTATTCTCATTTCTTTTGATCTAGGTCAAGTCGTTCAATATTTAAGTGTAAGTTATAAGTTATACAATATTAATACATATTATCTGAACGCTAATTAATTTGTACACCAATACGCATTCTTACTTGTGTAAATGCATATCCTGATGGTTCTTTATATGATACAAAAGTTTTTGTTTTATTTACATCTGTTGGATCAGGATAAATAAAACGAGGTGAATTATCATTCTCATCTAATACATGAATACGTATTGATACATGTTCAGATAATTTTGGAATGCCTTTATCATGTGTATTGATTAATAACAATATAATTGGTGTTATTATGGAATAGTTTGTTTTACTTGAGAGTTCAGTTATTTTATTATCATAATACAAATTATTGATATGTTCAAGTAATCCATAATGTGGAATCGTGTCAGAAACTATATCTTTATATTTCATGATTAATCCTTCACGATCAATAACAGAGTCTATATACAATTTGACATCGTAATGTGTTGATTCACTGTTAGAATAAGAAATATTTTTCTGGGCAACTTTTGTGAGTGTAATTTAAAATGTGGAATGTATTCAACATGTCTTGTTTCTTGTAAATTGGAAGAAATCAGTAGATCTTTTGAATGTAGTTTCAATTGTTCAATATCAGAATGTATTCCTAAACTATTACCGAAATATGCAAGATAAACATGTGCCTGTTCAGTGTTCTCTTCAATTTGAACAATTAATTCTGCATTTTTATCAAAGTCGTCATCAGTAATTTGAAAATTACCAACTAGCTGACCTACATGATTATTTTCTGTTATAGTAAATTCAAAATATGGTTGAGAGTATGTAGGTGAGTTGTCATTGTAATCCAGTACATTAACATGTATCTTCACCTTAGTCATTCGTTTTGGTTCACCATGATCTGAACAAATTAATGTCACATCGAATGTAGTCAACTTCTCGCGATCTAAATTTCCCATAGTACTAAGTGTCCCAGTAGTTGCATTGACCGAGATTAGATTCATTATATACGTTGGAGTTTCTTGATCTAAACTAAAATGAAGTTTCGCATTACGACCCTCATCTTTATCAGTAGCATGAATGGTGAGAAATTCAAAGTTATTTTTTATTCTTTCCGGACTTGAATCTTCCATGACATCAACTGTGTAATTATCTTGATCACAGACTGGATCATGATCATTTATATCGAATACTTTGATTTTGTATGTCAGATTACTTGATAAAGATGGCGTTCCACCATCCCAACAAACTACATTAAACTCAATGATTGGGAATTCTTCTCTATCAATAAGTTTTTGCAGCGTTAATTTATACTTTTGGTTAGAATTTGACATTTCTTTACCCATTATTTCACTATCAACTGAAATTAAGCGTAAAACATTTGGAATACTTTGATTAGTTAATTTACAGTTCACTTTTGCATTTTTTCCAGTATCTCCATCGAACACATCTACAATACCAATATCTTGTCCAGGTGGTGTTTCTTCAATTAATTCTAAGGTTTTAGAACCAGTAGGTGATATAATACGAATACGAGGAAAGTGATCATTTACATCAATAACATTTACTATAACCTGAGTAGTTGATAATTTAGAGGTATGAAATGATTTTATTTGTCCTGATGTAGTGTTTTCCGGATTTTTAGCTAATACTTTTAAAGAATGACTAGATTTTAAACGATAATTTAATCGTCTTTGTAGTTTTATTTCACCGGTTTCTGAATGAATATAGAAATAATTATTATCATCACTATCATCTGAATATGATGCAAAACTATAAATTATCTTTCCATTTTCATCAGTATCTTCATCATTGGCTTTAATCTGTGTAATAAAATGACCTATAGGTGTATCTTCACTTACATTTACAATATACATAGATTGTTCAAATATTGGCATATGATCATTACAATCTTCTACAAGTATAGTTACATTAAGATAACATTGATGATCATTTGATGAAATACCATCATCGGCTACAATTTGAAATGAATAACTTCGTTGTTTTTCATAATCTAACTTTTGAATTAATTCTAATTCTAAATATATATTAGATATTGTAATATTATTCGATAATGTAAGACTATGTAATTTAAAGTAATTTAATATATTTTGATTATTATTTATTATATTCGAATCATTATTGATCCAAATACGATCTAGTTTCACAGAATTCCCACTGATCATATCATCTGGATCATATGGTATATTCAATGTAAAACGTGTATCATTAATTAATGAATCTTCACGGATTTTAATGATTTGTTGATTGGATGGAATAAATTGACAACCATTATCATTGATATCTTTCAATTCAATAATAACATCAAATATAGTTATTAATTTATTACTTATAGGTAATCTGTTTCTATGACGATTTGAATATAATGTGGTATTTAAACAATTCACACTAAAATATAATTCACATATTGTAGAATAAGTAAAATTTGGTAACCATTCTTTAATCATTTTACCATATTTCTTTAATTGATTATATTGATTATTAATATTATTACATAATAATTCTCTATCTAATCTATGCTTAACAATAATATCACCTGTAATAGGATCAACATGAAATAATTTCGATGCATCATTTGTATTATTAATTTTAATAAAATATAAATTATTTAATCCACCTTGTTGTTGTATATATTTTAATAAATTACCTATATGTGTATTCAATTGTATCTCTTCATTAATACGTAATCGTATCGTTTTGGATTGAATTAAATTAATATAAAATAATATGATAATGATGAATAATTGATATTGTTGCCGTGTAAAATACCAATTCCATTGTATGAAATAAATTCTAAGCATACCATTGAAAATTAATCATATAGAAACAATAATAATGATAATTATAGAAGGATGTATGTACAGATTGTTTTTGTTTTAGGTATCAATCATGATCGTGGTAATCATTGATAATTCACTGAATAAATAGATTCCATTCATAGAGTTTAATAAATGTAAACAATGTGTGTTGTATTACTGAGTGAGCTTTTCTTTTTCTTTCTTCTCTTTTCTTTTCTCTTTTTTTCTAAATTCTCTATGTACTATTTTGGATACTAAGAAAGTGGTAATATCTATGACATATTATTTTGGGAAACTATTCTGATTGGGTAATTTCGCAAATGAATCAGTAATGTGGGTGGAATTAGGATATACTTAGGAGAGAAAAAAAACATTTTAACCAATAAAATACAAGCAAACCAAAATGATCAGTATATTAAGTTGTGGAGAGTATTAGGTTTTGTTTTTTGTTTTCATTGAGAACTTAAACCGATTGATATTAGATTATCATTGAATAGCTGGAAGCACTGAGTGGCCACGAGCGGGATCGTAGATGTGCACTGTTGAGGAGTCCTACAGTAGGACGAAATGACCATCCACTGTTACTAGTTTTTCAGTGGTAGTCTAACATCAATCGGTTCATGATCTCAATAAATACCTGCCAAAGTATCTACATCGGCTGCACTGAAAGGACAGCATATCTTAGATTTTTTAAACATATTCCAAAAAGTCTTGGAAAAAGGAAAAGAAAGACTCTGAATAGTGCAATCACCAAAGATCTCCTTGATACAGAACATCAGGTAGATACCTTACAATCCTTTAGGGTAATTAGTAAGCAGTCAAACTCCAGTCTTCTGAAGTTTGCTGAAGCTATTGCCATCAGACGTCAAAAACCTGACCTATGTGTTCAAAAGGAGATGGTTGTTAATCTTTCCTTGCCTTGGTGACAAATATTATTTCGCTGCACCTTAAAAATTTTTTTCTCTTTTTCTTTTGTTTTTATTACATCATTGATTTTTTTTCAACTATCAAATTAATAATCTTTTAACTGAGCTCTAATCACTATATTCCTATCAATGTTTATTCATTATGTAATCACTTGTTTCTAACCCACATTTGAACTGTTGCCACAATTAATGTTGTAGAATATTCTTTCACATTAGGTACATATTTACAATATTCAGTCTATTAATTTCATTTACATCCATGATATGCTTTACGAATGTATCTTCAATATAACTTCGAAACAAACCCTATCATGTAAGCAATTTAAACCCATTATGTAATTATGATTTTCAAATATCACAGGTTGTAAACAGCTGATGAGAACCTACGAAATAAAAATGAATTGATGCTGTTCCGTTAGAATCTTTGTTCTTGCTCTTTTCAAAATGATAAAGGGAACTATGTGCATGAAACACATTCACCTTTGGTATTAAAATTATAAAAAAAGGTGTTAAAAGAAGTATTTATTATTTTATTTTTGTAAATGTAATAATGTTACAAAGTTACATTTTATTCTATCAACAATTTATTCATCTGAAATAATAAAATATCCTAAATAATGAAAAACGTACTTTTTAACGATCCTAACTGTCAAACTTATCAATGTAAAACAGTTACATCGACTGTGTTGTGCTAGGGATAAACACTCTTCTTATGTTGCAATATATTTATATCAAATTAATCTGAAATTCATTCTTCTCCTATTTGAATGGCTTTCTTATTTCAGGACATGTATTTATTAAGTGTTTGAATTAAGAATGAATATATATACGTCAGAAATTTGATTTTAAAATACATTAAACTACTGATTTCAATGATTGAGATTATGTTGACATTGATTATGATGATCGCCTATTATATTTCGTTAGATACATTAATTCTTTCAATAGGACTCTATCTACGGAGAATGGTTATAAAATTTTTCGAACTCTAAGAATAGACAAAATTATGATGGACTACAGGATACTTGGTAAATGAGCGTAGAATTTTCTGAGTGTTCTTTCTAGAAATCTTCCTGAAAGTTGAAAGTACAAGACTAAAACAAGTTTTGAGAGGATCTAGAATATCAGTAGGAAATCTCCTACACAAAAAAATGGTTACTCCTAAAATTTAAAATAAATTGCATGCATCATCGGTAGTAAATAAACCTGAATATAAAAAAGTGACATTCAGATATTGTTCAAAAACTAATACAATCCTAAAAAGATAAACCAGTCTTTGCAGTCTCGTAGCATCCCACTTGCTTAATACAAAACATGAAGTGGGATAAAACTATACATGTAATAGAAATATGCCAAATGGCAACGACTTCAGCAAACTTCAGAAGACTGGAGTTTGGCCGCTTTCTCAGGTACATGTAAATTTATAAATACAGTTGTTCAAATCAGCTTCATTGCCCTAACTGAAAGGAGGGCATATTTTAGATTTTTTGAACATGTTCCATTAAGCCACAGGACAAGAGAAAGAAAGACGTTTACTCATTACGTAATCACTTGTCTCTGGCCGTTTGAACCGTTGTCACAATCAATGTTGTAGAATGTTCTTTCACACAAGGTATATATTTATAATATTCAGTCTATTAAATTTATTTACACCTCTACTATACTTTATTACTATATCTTCCATATAACTTCCAATCAAACCCTCTCATGTAAATAGTTCAAACTTATTATGTAATTTTGATTTTAACTATTACAGGTTGTAAGCAGTTGATGAGAACCTTCGAAATAAAATGAATTCATGCTATTCTACTAGAATGTTTGTTCTTTCTTTTTTCAGTCTTCGTCAATCAACATTGATCAAAGGAACTAATTGCTTTTAACTTGTCAGTCTGTGTATAGTTACAAGTGTAAGTAATAAATTACAATAGACTATCCCATATATTCTACATATTATATTCATCAGAAGTCTGAACAAAAAACATAAGTATATGTATATATGTAAAACTGTTGTTATCAATATGAATATATATGGCATATTTTAAATGAAAATAGTCGTATCTCTATACAAATGACATCCAATATACATTAAACTTTATAAAACTAACATAATCATACCAAATCTTGAAGTTTCATGATCAGAATTCAAAATACAATATCCATTGGTTTAGTACTACAAATTTCAGACACTATAAGAATGAATAAAATTGAATTGAAACAATGATATGCTTTTTAACATGCTAGATAAGTTTAGAGACTAGTAGTTTTCTGTCTCTATACTACTTCTACCTCTATGGAATTTGAATTAACAATTTTATCTATTTGATAATATGGTATGGCAACTTGAACTGATCTATGTACGTACGTACGTACGTACGAAGTTCTACGTTGTTACTGACTGACTGACTGATACAGATCATTCTTGTATACATATATATATGCACTTGATAAATCATTTAACTCTATTTCATCATCAGTTAACAATGATTTCAAGTTATGATGAAAATGAATCATGAATTATCTTTTGACAATGTTCCATAATAGAATAAAATGTCATTTTATATTAATATTAATATAAAACCAAACAAAACTTTATTAAATGTTACTATGATATCAAGTGAAATCTATATTAAATCTATTGTTTACTATAAATGATTCATTATTGTTTGTTTTTTCAAAAATCTATGATTGTATTAAACACTGAATAGGAGTCAACATAGAAATAGATCATCATTATACAGTACAGAAATCTACTTTATATATATATAGGAACTGTCAAAGAATGCTACGAATTTTGTAAAATAATCTAGATTATTTGAGGAGTTGACAATATATGTATATATAGATGTATAGACTAAGAAGTAGGGTATTATTGTTATTGTTATCAAATGAGAATTCATTTGATTTACTTGGGAAATAGAAATAAAAATAAACTCATTTGTTATCACAATGTTGTTAATCTTGGCATTATTTATGTTTATATATAAAACTACTTGTCAAGATAACACCATAGAACCTGTGTCAATTCAGTTGATAATATGATAAAATAAAGATAAATTTGGTTAATGGAAAATGGATAAAAAGTTTTTCTTTTAAATAACTAGAGAAATAAAGGTGGGAATATGGATGTGTACTACTGAGGAGTTGCACAATAAGATGAAACAGTTGTTCAGTATTTCTAAGTTTTTCATGATAGTCTAGCTTCAATTGACTCATGATCCTTTACCTCCTTACTTAATTTACTTACTTACTTACTTACTTACTTACGCCTGTCACTCCCAATAGAGTATAGGCCACCGACGAGCATTCTCCAACACACTCTGTCCTGGAATTTCCTTTCCAGTTCTATCCGATTGTTGTTCATCCTTCTCATGTCTGTCTCCATTTCTCGGCGTAATGTGTTCTTTGGTCTTCCTCTTCTCCTCCATTGGTCTTGGGGATTCCATGTGAGGGCTTGCCTTGTGACGCAGTTCGGTGCCTTCCTCAATGTGTGTCCTATCCACTTTCAGCGCTTCTTCCTAATTTCTTCCTCCACTGAAATCTGGTTTGTTCTCTCATACAGTTGGTTGTTGCTGATAGTGACTGGCCAACGGATCCGAAGTATTTTACGTATACAACTATTAATATACACTTATATCTCCTAAATGATAGCTTTTGTAGTTCTTCAGTAGAACTGTCTTGACATTCGTATTGAAAATTCTGACTTTGATGTTGGTTGACAGTTTTTTCGAGTCCCAGATCTTCTTCAGTTGTAAATATGCTGCTCTTGCTTTTCCGACCCGCGCCTTCACATCTGCATCAGATCCACTGTGTTCATCAATGATGCTGCTCAGATATGTAAAGTTTTTTACATCTTCCAAATCTTCTCCATCAAGTGCGATTGAACTGAAGCATGCTGTGTTGTATCGGAGAATCTTGCTTTTCCCTTTTTGTATGTTGAGACCTATTGCTGCTGAGTCTGCTGCTACGCTGGTCGTCTTCTGCTTTATTTGTTGTTCCGTGTGCGATAGAACAGCTGCGAAGTATAGATCGTCCAGTTGCATCCTAGCTGTCCACAGTATCCAATGCTTCCTCTCAAAT